TGATACTAAATTAACATCTGAAGTATAATTTTTTATTATTTTTATATTTTTCAATATATTTATTTTGTTTGTACAAAATAAAAAAATAATTTTTAACGATACAATAGTCTTTGTTAGGCTTAACATCGACGAAAATTCAACGCAAAGCGACACGCAACGGAGAAAAATTTCGACATCGGATACGTTAAACTATTTTTTCGTACTAAATCAGTTATCAGAAATATCAGTTATCCAGACAACCCCAGTCCCCAATTGATTCGGAAAATCGACGCTCTACTGTATATAATTTAAATTAACAAATGAAACATTTTAACTGAAAATGAGATATTGGTTATAAGTAGTTAATCAGTAGTTTAAAGTTTTTAGCTACTCCCTGGATCTTCTCCATGTTTCGTTTCACAATTTTTAATTTCAAAATTTTTCCAACATTTTTTCATCATTTTTTATATAAACAATGAAAGAATTTTTTAAAAAAAGTGAAATTAAAATATTTAGTATGATTGTCAAGCAAGATCGTTTAGATGCTTGAATTAATCCAGTTGACAAGTACTATTCTACTATTGTCAAAGACTTGTATTTTTATTTGCTAGAATAAAAATCACTAAAACAATTTTTATCATCATTAACATCTTAATACCCTTTAGAACAGTAACTGCTTGGTACTGGACGACAATATTTGCCCTGCCCGAATTCGTAACTTTTTTTATTTTAGAAATAATTAGTACTTTAGGCAAAATTTTAGAGAAATCTTACTCTACTTTATGAAGTATTCTTTGAGGTATCATATTCTTTGAGTATTCTCTTAAAACCAATTTTTCTCAAGTCTGATATTTGTTACAGCCAAAAATATTAAGGTGGTCGGTACTGCACGAATCTCCCCTCTATATATATATGTCTATATATACATACAAACAGAAAACTCTAGTTAATTCAAAGTATTTAGCCATCCTCTGCGTTCGAATTAACGAGAGTCTACAGTATATATGTAGACTATATGTCGTTTCAACAAATATTTATAAAAACGTTTAAATAAATGATAATATTTGTAAGTATTTATATCAGATTTTTTTGTGATGTAAAACATTACCTTTATAGGAACTCTTTTATCGATTGGATACACTTCACATAACGATAATCTCATTGGAAATTTTCCAAATCTTTTCATGAAATCAAGAATCTAACGAAAAAAATAAATATCAGTCTCTAAGAAACATTAGAAATAATAATAATTCCAAATACTGTATAGTGGAACTCCCGCTATCTCGACACTCGAATCACTCGACATTTTTCTATATTTTGGTCTGAAGTATTATCTAGGGAAGAAAACCTCGTTAAGTCGACATCATCAACAGATGTCCCCATCAATTCGGCCTACATTCGGCATATTTTAAAAGAAAAGGCAATTTCTCTCTGGATATCTGCACTCTTATTGTGTGAACGATACGATATATCTATACAACTTACTTTCCCTTTACTTGTTTTCCACCCCACAAAAGTTGCTGTTATCTAAATTCCTTCAAATGGGAAAAACCCTAGGGGCATTGTCTATTCACAATTCAGCCTATTAATTAAGTTGATTTCGTTCATTTGCGTACAGTAACTGAATGTGTATAACACATTTTTATGATAGCTTCATGAAAGTAACACTTAAAGAAAAATAGAAATTTTAAGAAAACCAGAAAGCAATGAATAAAAAGTTGGGTTACAGAGCAGGCTGGAAAATTTTGTTTTAATTTTCTCTTTTCCAGTTAGCATTAAGCCTACTGGCTTTAGTCCAAGTGTAAAAAACGTAACAGTACCTAAGTTGACGTGATGAAAGCGGTAGTAGGCCTATATATTATATAAAGTGTACTGTATCATATGAGTACTGCTGATTAATAAGCTAAGAGGGCTTAGCAACCTCATAGCCCCGCCTCTAAAGAAAACTCGAAGATGGCCATAAATAGTCTGGCGTTACAAAAGAATACGACGTTCTACTTACAATGATGATAGCATTTGTGAAAAATAATGAGAAAATTAAAATTTTAAAGGCTTTCAAATCGACAGAACCTTTGAGAAAACACATACGTATGTCCGATTTCGGTCTTTCTGAAGAAGCTATTCTAACGTGATTTAATACAGTATAGTAATTTATACATGTATAAAAACGATTACATTTACGCAAATTTTCATTAATTGCACTGTTTCATTATTCATTATTTTATGGACTGTAGTAAGAAGTCGAATAACACAAAAAAGTGTGAAAACGTAAACGGCAATGTATTTAATGACAGTTAAAATTTAAAATTTCCCAAAACCTCGCTAATTCGGCGACCCGCATAACTCGATACGTTTAACTCTACTGACGAGGTGACGAGTTATCGGGGTTCCACTGTTTAATAATTACTTTTAGTTTTTGCTCAAGTTCCAAATCACTTTTCGTAAAGACACGAATATCTCGAAAGGCATTCTGCATCTAAAAAAAGAAACAACTATTATGCACGGAACAATAAAATAACAATAACAAAATTACTCTGTGTAATTTAAATTTTACCGTAAATGCAAAACAGCACAAAAAGCAGGCTAATATGATGCAAACGAATGTGCAGAAAACAACCGTTGCTAATATTCCGTATCTAAGCATATTGCTTATTTCTACAAACAGGAATATGTAATAAAAGAAACAAGTTGAGAATGTTATACCAAAATAAGCAATCACCAATACAATATTTATTTTTCCGTTAAATTGTTCGACGAAAGTCCACAGTTCTTGGTGATGCATCATGAATTGGTCCAATCTTAATTTTAAATCGACATCGTTCTTCTTAATTAAAGAAAGTTCTTGCACGAGATTTTCAAATTCATTTTCAGCGACAAATACTAAAATTGCCACTATTAATAATCCATATATGAATCCTCCGATGACAAAGTTCATTAATAGTCCTATTTCGATGGAACAGAAAAGTGCTTCTCCGTTATATTTTTGGGATTTTTGTAAAGATGGATAATACAAGGTTACATTCAAAATTTGAAACCAACTTGAAGCGATCACAACAAAAAAAGAAACGTAGTTACAGAAATTTTGCATTGAAATGTTTTCTTCGTCTATCATCATTCGAAGAAATATTTTATTTTTTAAAGTTTTTAGCAAAATAACTTTTGCATCTTTCAAAAAACTGAATACCGAAGCGTAAGAACCAAATAAAAGCGTAAACGAAATCTTTACTATTTTACTGCTGTCTTTAAATAAATCGTACCATCCCATACAAATTACGTTATCGTTCAAACCTGGAATTGCTTGCCACAATAAAAGGAAGGTGTGACTCCATAAAGTCAGTTCTATAAATCGAATATATACAGTTTTATACAGGAAATATTCCGTAATAAGATTGTCAGATTTTTGGGACTTACATGTTTTGAATGGTTGCAAGCCATAAATCAATGCCATTCTTCTATATGGCAGCAAAAAACAACTTGTACAAACTTCACTCATATTCAGTATTAGGCTTTAATAATTGTAAAACGATAATTTTATTTTTCAACCAGCAAAAGAGGAAACAATATAAGAATAAACGACACACAAATAGTCTGAAACATGATTGAATCGGATCGGATCGATGAGATAAGGCAACATAACACGTGGTCGATCTGCCAAGAGGATGCCTCTCGGGAAGACTTTCTTTCGAAAACTAGCCCATATTTAAGGATTAGACAAACTTGGAAAACCCAGACAACATGACTACAGTACCCGTAACCAACCTATCAATTTTCAATAGTTTTGACATAATATGATACAGTCTTGCGAATGTAATAAATAAAGCAACTTTGTGCTTTATTTTTTACAATCAGAAATGATATGCATTGTGTGTTTACTCAGCGCAAACAATTTTTTTATTGTTACTCTTACAAGGAAACTATCGATCTAATTTCGATTATCAATCCGGATGTTTATCATTAAAAGTATTGATTGTTATGCAAATTCTAACTGGATTTATATACTTTAATCAATATCTACCGACATTTGTCAATATTGCTTCGAAATTCTTTTGTGGAATCCGGAAATTTTATGGTTTTTAACAGAGGCTTTCTATAACTTCAATTGTGCTTAAGAAATATTTAGTTTATTTAATTTTGAGAATCATTTTGTATTTCTCATTTTTCAGTTTTTTGGTTTATATTTCGTTAATAATAATCTAATTAAATTATTATTAATATTTTAAAGTGTTTTCTATATTTTAACATTAATTTTGCAGGTATGGAAGGATATAAAATTTATATATATAAATGATATTTAATATATCATTTCAAAATTGACTTCTAAATAATTTAACATCATAACAATTTCCTTATTTCCATTTTATGGTAATATTTAATCTTTAAAAACTCAACACACTTTAATACTGAGAAAGCATATTTATTTAGCTAAACAAACATTTTCAACCCATTCCATGGGCCATCATCAGGTTAAAGACGTTCGAATCAATGGCTTTTCGAATAACACGTTCAAATTTAAATTATACAGTATTAGAACATATGCAGTATATTGAAATCAAATTAAGTAAACAAGCATAACGAAATTAATATTTAATCACCATATCTCTTGAGTGAATAGTTAAAAATAAAAGTTACATTCAAAATTAAAATAATTGCAAAACATTTACACATAATTAAACCGTTAATTATTAAACTAAAATTTTAAATCTCTGGTAATGATGTTTTTAAATAGGCACTAATTATGTAGGCCTAATGTTTCACTCAAGAAGGATTAAATATATATCTGTAAACATAATTGCCTTATTAAAATCTTTATACTTACATATGTAAAAACCGGGAATAAAGAGGAGACATAAAATCTCAGTTCTCTTTAGTTCTCTAATTTTATCATTAACAATAACTACTTGATCCACCATATAACAAAAGCATTTATAAAGGTCTGCTGATAGTATTTATAAATCCTTAAATATTCTTTCCATACTTATGCTTCAATAACTCAAATACTTGTAATTATAGTTCTATTTATAAAACGTAAACAAATTCCAATATGCCTAGTGGAATAAGAAAAGTATGTACGAGATTTGTTTAAGATCACAGCATTTATCTATTGTCTTTTTTACAGCAAGATACATACTGTAATTAATGTTTTTAGGAATATTACGCATAAACTTTAACTATCTTTGTTAAGTTTATGCGCAATATTCCTAAAAACGATTGCTAAGATACATGGAAAAAAACTAAATTGTCTTCACAATTTCGTCACATCCAATCCCAGGAACAGCCTGTCTTCCTTTACTTTTTCCCTTGAATTTTTAATGTGTAAAATAGGTCTGCCATTTTAATGGAAATTAATGAAGATATCTAAATCTCGTACATAATTTAAATGCCACATTGTATTGATCCACAATACAAACACTTAAATAATGCGTTTGCAAATTTAAACATAAATCAATTGGTTATCCTTGATCTGTATTAACGTATACTGTACGTTGAGATGACCGAAATTCTAAATGTTCTATTTATTTATGTTGGAATGAAATATTCAAATAATTATTTTTACCAAGTTTTATTAATTAGATAAAAGTTTAGACAATAAATAGCGAATTTTCGTAGCATCAGTTAAGTTATTTGAACGTTTAATGTGAAAATTCT